GGTCGGTCCTCTCCCCCCTTTTGTTCAATATTTATGTAAAGCCGCTGGGGGAGATCATCCGTGGCTTTGGGGTGGATTTCCATCAGTACGCTGATGACACGCAGCTGTACATTTCCACCCCAGGCCACCCCAACGATGCCCTTGACGTGATGACCCGTTGCCTGGAGGCCGTACGGGTCTGGATGGGGAGGAACAGACTTAGGCTCAACCCTTCCAAGACCGAGTGGCTGTGGTTGCCGGCGCCTCGGCATAGTCAGCTGACTCCATCGCTGACTATAGGGGGTGAAATTTTGGCCCCCTCAGAGAGGGCACGCAACTTGGGTGTCCTCTTGGATCCACGGCTGACATTGGAAGATCATTTGTCGGCCGTGACCAGGGGGGCGTTCTATCAGGTCCGCCTGATTTACCAGTTGCGTCCATTTCTGGACCGGGACGCTTTGCGCACAGTCACTCAGGCTCTCGTCACCTCCCGCCTGGACTACTGTAATGCTCTCTACATGGGGCTCCCTTTGAGGAGCACCCGGAGACTTCAACTGGTCCAGAATGCGGCCGCGCGGGCGGTGTTGGGAGCATTTTAAATAGAGACACAGCTTCTAATATTCGGTTTTTTAATCTGGTTTTACAGGGGTTTGTATTTTTATGCTTTGTATTTGTACTGTTTTTAATACGCTGTGCACCGCCCTGAGTCCTGCGGGAGAAGGGCGGTATATAAATTAAATTAATAATAATAATAATAATAATAAATTAATGCTAATTAATGTTAATGTTAATTCTTCATGAACAATTGTCCTTTAGGGAAAAAAAAACCACAATTTTCCCATCAATCTCTTTATTATAATGGGTGGAAAAATGTGAGGAGTGACCTTACCAATTTAAGACTCAATCTCAATAGCAATAATAATAACAATAACAATAATAACAATAACAACAACAATAATAATAATAAAAGTTGGAAGGGACCTTGGAGATCATCTAGTCCAACCCCCTGCTCAGGCAGGAAACCCTATACCATTTCAGACAAATGGCTTTCCAGTCTCTTCTTAGAAACTTCCAGTGTTGGAGCATTCACCGCTTCTGGAGGCAGGTTGTTCCACTGATTAATTGTACTAACTACCAGAAAATTTCTCCTTAGTTCTAGGTTGCTTCTCTCTGGTTAGTTTCCATCCGTTGCTTCTTATCCTGCCTTCAGGTGCTTTCGAGACTAGCTTGACTCCCTCTGAGATATTGGAAGACTGCTATCATGTCCCCCCTTGTCCTTCTCTTCGTTAAACTAGACATACCCAATTCCAGCAACCGTTCCTTATATGTTTTAGCCTCCAGTCCCCTAATCATCTTTGTTGCTCTTCTCTGTACTCTTTCTGGAGTCTCAGCATCTTTTTTACATCGTGGTGACCAAAACTGATTTATAAATCTTTTGTTCCAGTCCTGTCCAAATAAATCTGGTTTCACCAGAACCACTCATAGAAGGAACACATGGAGGATGTATTAGAAGACCCTCTAAAAATGGGGGGGCTCTCTCTTTTCAACCTCTCCCCTCCCCGCCAAAAGGTCTTGCTAGGAAGCAGAATGGCTCTCGTTCTTTCAGGGGGCCTCCCTCTGACTTACCGCAGTCTGAACTGTCGGATCCTTTGTAACTTGCTAGAAATGAAAGAAAAGTGGGAAGGTCAATCTCTTGGCTGATAGGAGGAAATGAAAAAACTCAAATCTTTCTGACCCCAATTCTCTCTCTCTCTCTCTCTCTCTCTCTCTCTCTCTCTCTCTCTCTCTCTCTCTCTCTCTCTCTCACACACACACACACACACACACACACACACACACCCTCAAATACATTCAAAAGGTTTAAATCAAGCTGCTTTAGCTAAGAGACATAAGAAAGAATGCTGAATATGTATATGGACAGATTAATATTTATGTGTGTTTACATATATATGTATGGGATCCATATATGTATGTATATATGTGTGTGTATACACACACACACACACACACACTACAAATTCGAATTTGTAGTGTATCGCAGTAGCGACTTGAGCCTGCTTAACGGTCCTAGGTTGGGGCTGCAAGGCAAAAGTGATCATAATAGTAGAACTGCAATATAGCAGTTAAAAAAAAACCAAGGTGCATCAACCAGACCGGTCTGTCTGGAAAAAACAGATCATATATTCCCTTGGCTCAGCTGACAAAAGAGAGGAGGAGAGCCGGTGCCTTAGAGGTTAATAAACTGCCTAGCATGCAGGCTGCCCAGGTTTGAATCCCATAAAGGGTATGGCTAGCTGATGAGAGCTAAAAAGCTTGAAATAGCTATTCTAGTCTCCCATTTAACTCTTTAACTCTTTGTCAACAAAAAAAGAAAGAAATTCGAATTTGTAGTGTATCGCAGTGTGTATATATGACTACAAATTTGTGTTAGTGTCTCCAACTTCATTTGGACAGTTGCTATGCAATTTCTTGACAGGTTATGGGTTCAGACGTGCCCTGAAGATTTAGTAGTAAATTCCTCTGAAGTGTAAGGACAATTCAATGAGATGGTGAAAGATTTTTCATGAGCCCGAGGAAGGCTGGGGAAGATTGGCCTGTGTAGACATCATAATGTTAGCCTCCGATTGGACTAGTTCAGGCGGGCCAATGGAGGCAGGTCTTGAGTCCATTTTATGGGAAGAGTTTGATCCTGTGACCCCCGAGGACATGGACAGAATGCTGGGACGGCTGAACACCACCACATGTTTACTGGACCCGTGTCCCTCCTGGCTGGTACTGGCCTCCCGGGAGGTTACACGAGGCTGGCTCCAGGGAATCGTCAATGCTTCTTTGAGTGAGGGGTTCTTGCCGGCTGCCTTGAAAGAGGCTGTGGTGAGGCCCCTCCTCAAGAAGCCCTCCCTGGACCCGGCTACTTTGGCCAACTANGGAATATGTAAGCCTGGGAAATGGTAATCATTTGTACAGGGAGAAGGAACAGTATATGTACCATGCATTGGTAAGTCGACCATAAGAAAGGCTGAGCGCAAAAGAATTGAGGCCTTTGAACTATGGTGCTGGAGAAGACTCCTGCGAGTCCCCTGGACTGCAAGGTGATCAAACCAGTCAGTTCTAGAGGAGATCAACCCTGACTGCTCTTTAGAAGGCCAGATCCTGCAGTTCAAACTCAAGTACTTTGGCCACCTAATGAGAAGGAAGGATTCACTGGAGAAGAGCCTGATGCTGGGAAAGATTGAGGGCAATAGAAGAAAGGGACGACAGAGAACGAGGTTGCTGGATGGAATCACTGAAGCAGTAGGCGTGAGCTTAAATGGACTCCAGAAGATGGTATAGGACAGGAAGGCCTGGAGGAACGTTGTCCATGGGGTCGCGATGGGTCGGACACGACTTCGCAACTAACAACAACAATTGGTAAGTCGTTTGATAAGGTTTTAGGTGTAGCAGATTTACTACAAATATCACTATTTGCTGAGTGTGTCTTGCTTAGTCAATGAAAGGTAGGAAGTCATTTTTGCAAAGGATACATGCAAGGTCATAAGGAATTAACAGGGTGTGTGCACAAGGTCTGAAACTGAACAATGTATATATTTTGAACCACAAGGAAAGTGGTGGCAATGTGCAGACAATTTTTTCTAATGAACCAATGGGTGTGCACATATATTACACAGGAGGCTGGGTCATGCGAGGTTAAAGTATTGCAGAAAATGCCTGACCTGGCTGTAGGTGTGACTGTGAATGATTATGACAATTATTTGGATTGTGCTATGTGCAAGGAGACAAAAGATGTACCCTATCAGCAAAAGAAGTGATGGGAAATCTGAAAGGATTGTTCAGTTAGTACATGCTGATTTAATTGGCCCTCTATCTCCATTAAGGGGAGGGGCCAAATTTGTTTTCAGTTGCCATATCCACAGCTAAAAAGGAATTCATAGTATTATCAGAATTTTGTTCAGAGATAACATGGTATATACAATTATTAAAAAATTTGGATAGTGAAGTGAAAGGAGCTATACCAGTATTTGAAGATAACACAACATGTACACAAACACAACAGGGAGAGAGAATGAAAGCCAGAAGCAAGCATGTTGACATAAAATGTCAGGGAAGCAGTGAAAGAAAATGTAACAGACTTAATTTATTTTCCATCAGAAAATAATTTAGCTGACCTCATGACAAAGCCATTAAGTCAGTGGTTCTCAACCTTTTTAATGCCGCGAGGACTAAACCGGTCGTAAGTCGAGGACTAAACCGGTCGTAAGTCGAGGACTACCCAACCGGTCATAGGTCAAGGACTTTCCCTGCCCGGGAGCGCTGCGCATGCGTGGTTCCGCCCCCTGTGCCGGCCGAGGCATAGCTGGCAAGCGGCAGAGACAGAGCAGGCCGACCACCAGCTGGCCCAGCCCAAGGGAGGTAAGGCACCCGCCGGAAAGGGGGAAAAAATGGTGGACAGCCTTGCTTGGCGACCCCCGTGAAATGGTCAATCGACCCCAAATGGGGTCGCGACCCATAGGTTGAGAACCGCTGCATTAAGTAGACAAAAACACAAGGATCTAATAAAACAACTTGGTTTAAATGATGTCCAGCTATAAATTGGAGGTGTGTTAGGATATTGAATTTAGTAGCTGGAACAATAGAGTGTACAATAGGCCAGAATATACAGTTATAGTTGATTGGCTAGGGATGCTGACTCATGCATGAGGCAATCTACGCTCTGATTGGTTGCTATAAATATAAAGGGGGAGTTTCCCCTTTTCCCTCCTTTTTCTTCTGTGTGTTCTGTATACTGTTTCATTTGCCTCATGATATTCCTGTGTTTCTCGCTATCTTGCGTTTTTCTGTCTGGATGATGACAAGGACTCTTGTAAATGTGAATGATAAATATATTTATTTATATAAAAATACTACAATGCTTTGTTAGTGTCTCCGATGTCATCTGGACAGCTGTTATGCAATTCCTTGACAATACAGATGGATCCAAAGTTACTTTTTCCAATCAGTTCATACTCAGAGAGCCCTGTGGCGGGAGACCAAGAGGACATCCAGCTGGTATCCACCAACGCTCCTTTTTTCTCAAAAAGCCTCTTTTTATCACTATTTTTCCGGAGCTTCCTGATCATGTTATAGTCAAGCCTTTCCTTTCTGCCCACTTGGAAAACAGAGCAGCTTCTCAGTCAGAGGGATCTTCCACTCAGCTGGGTCTTCTCATTGTTTTGAGAATTTCTCATGCCAGATGTTTCTTCTTACAGTCTCCACTCACAAGGATAGCCTGACCCATCCTCCTCAGCTTAGTTCTTGGGGTCTCCTCATTGTTTTGTGAGTTTCTCATACCAGATGTTTCTTCTTGGGGTCTCCACTCACAAGAACAGTTTGGGCCATCCTCCTCAGCTTAGTTCTTGGTCCTCTGCAGCTTCATGAGCTGTTAATGGCATTTTGGATTCACACAAACACATTCACACGCCTCATCTGATGCTGCCTCTGATCCCTGCTCTGAGTTGGAGCTAACATGTAAAGAGGAAAAAAACACTCACTTGGTGCTGCTTTGTAGTCATTCCGATGTTTCACTGCAAAGGAAAAAAAATCAGTGAAAAAAAAAACTCCGCCAGAGATCATCCAATCTCTCCCTCTGTAGGGGAAGAGTCCCAAGAGAGTCTGTGAAAAGTCTTCACAGTTGGTGAGTCACCATCTCTCCTACCGATTAACAGACACAAAAATCTACAGATTACAAACACACCACTTGATTTTCCCCAAGAATTTTCACTGAAGTCCTTCTCTGCTGCCCTTTCACTAAAGCTTTTGAAAAAGACAGAACCATAATGCCTCTTTCCAACTCAGAANCAGAAAAAGCCCCCCAAAGGAAGAGAGTCCTCATCACCCAAAAAAGGATACTTACTGAAGAATAAAGTCCCAGCAATCACACACACCAGGACAAGACCAGCCACAACGCAGCCAATGATGAGCCCCAGGTCGGATTCTGAAACTGAATTGGGAGAAAGAGCAGATAATTGAAGGAGAATCCCAAACAATCATCCCAATTGGGGGAGGGACCTAATGAAGCCAAAGGACTGGAAATTCCCAAAATTAATGTCTAAGGGGCTCATCTTCATGTCCCTTTAATGGTAGCATGAAGACACCTTGCTAACCATTGTTAGAGGACATGTCCTCATGACGCTGCTTTCTCCTCACACCAGCCCAGCATGAAGGCAGCTGACATTTCTCTTTAACTGTTTAGCTCAAAAACAGCAGTTTGCAGTCTTGGGACTCTCAGTACTTTATAGAAACAAAAACTGGCTGAGGAAATAAAAACTGGCACGTTGGCTGATGAATTCTGGAAGTGGAAGTCCACAAGTCATAAAAGGGCCACATTTGAAGACCCCTGTTCTAGACCCTCTAGACCTGCCTTAGCCCTGAAAACCAGATGGGTGACCTTGGACTAGTCCCTCTCTCTCAGCCCAACCTGCCTCACAGGGTTGTTGTTGCGGGGAAAAATCGGAGAAGGAAGGCGGTGTTGGATATGTTCGCTGCCTTGAGTTATTTGTGAAAGCAATAAAGGCAGGATGCAAATAAATACATAAATAAAGTTAGCCTGTCCCCCTGAAGGAGAAGAAAGGATTGAATGAAGTTTTTAAGAAGAGATTGGATAAACATTTGTCTGAAATGGTATAGGGTTTCCTGCCTGAGCAGGAGGTTGGACTAGAAGACCTCCAAGGTCCCTTCCAACTCTTCTCGTCTCGTCTCGTCTCGTCTCGTCTCTCCTCTCCTCTCCTCTCCTCTCTTCTCTTCTCTTCTCTTCTGATCTGTTCCGCTTCATTCCGTTCCGTTCTATTCTACCTTTGCATTAGGAGCTTTTAAGTGCTGGGAAGGCAGCGGAATATGTGAGAATACTTTTCTATCACACGTATTCCGGGGTTGCGGGGAGGACCCCAGGAAGGCCTATAACAGTGATGGCGAACCTTTTAGAGACCGAGTGCCCAAACTGCAAACCCAAAATCCACTTATGCATCGTTGAGTGCCGGGTGGGTGTGGCCCATTGGCTGGGTGTGGCCAATTGGGTGGGCATGGCCAATTGGGTGGGCGTGTCTGTGGTGGTAATGGCAGACTGGGTGGGACTAAACAGTTCAATCAATCAATTCCAACTTTGCAAGATCTTTTTTTTCCTGCGAGAAGTTGAAATTGACTGATTGAAGCTATTTTTTTTTTTGCACACGGCAGCGGAGGCCTAAAGCGAAAAGATTTTACAAAACCCAGCTGAAGGCCTAGGACTGGGGCAATGGTGCGCGTGCCCACACAGAGGGCTCTGAGTGCCGCCTCTGGCACCTGTGCCATAGGTTCGCCACCACTGGCCTATAATGTGCCCACCACCACTACATCACTCTTTTCTCACAACTAAACATGCTTAGCTCCTTCTGTTCATTTACAGAGGATTTAGTATCCAGTTCCTGATCAGCCTTGTTGTTCTACTATGAATCTTTTCCAATTGCTCCGAATCTGTATTAATGGGTGTTGCCCCAGAACTGGGCCTTCTGCTTGAGGCTGGCTCTGCTCATAGCAGAACACCGGGAGAAAATTACCCTCATTGTTTGTAAGCTACAATTTATTTGACATAGCCTAAAATTGGTACTTTGAAAGTATTTGATGTTCTTACTCCGTCTTCTATTAAACCAGGTATCTCCCACCCAATATTTTTGCATTTTTGATTTTTGTTTCCTAAGTGAAGAACATTGCACTTGGACTCATACAGATGGAAGGAAGCAACCAAAGAGGTCATCTAGTCTAACCATCTGCTTGGTACAGGATCCATGAAACGATTCATCCAGATGTCTTTTAGTACCTCATTTGAGATTCCCATCCTTCCTGGACACTGTTTACTTTCAAGTTTTTCTTCCGTTTCTTTCAGTTCCTCTCCACCCATTCTGAATTTCACTTCCTTTTTTGAGAATATTAGCTTACCCAGCCAGTTTTATATCCTCTTCAGTTGGATAACTATTTGCTCTATCAATTCCTCCAGGTCACTAAAGGGAATTTGGAAGAACAGAGGACAAGGGGCTGATTCTTATGGCCCCCCATTTGATATCTTCATCCTGATGAGGAACCATCAACCTGCAGGGAGTTTTTTGACCCAGCTCTGCATCCCCTTTCATTGTCTGGCCATCCGACCTCCTTTTATTAGTTGAAGAGGCCTTTGACTGCCTCCAGATGTTTTTATGAGGCAAAATTTACCATAAAAAATTAGCCCCATGAAACATTCAGATGATCCTGTCATCTTTTAGAGATCCTTTGATCTGTTTTCTATCTCATTTAGATCAACCATAAAGAAAAATCTGCTGATCTAAATGTTTCACTGTAACATTGGGGAGGGGCACATCAATAAAGTGGGATCTATGTCAACCCCTCCCCTTATTTCTGGAGGGAGGGGAGAAGTTGTGGCCCGTCCAGAAATGACAAAAAATGGAATTTTGTGCTTCCAGAATTTCAGGATGAAAAAATGGAACGTTAATGATATCCAACTTCTGGAGGGCCTCTCAAATGGCCAAAACTCCAAGATGGGGTGGCAAACAAATTTAAATAAATAAATCAATAAATATTGGGTGGGTACTTCAGGGGGGAAAGTTTGAGGAGAGGAACGTCAAATTTCTCTTTCACAGAACTCAGGACTCCCAATGAATAGCAGCCATGGGGCTTATAAATTGATACTTAGTAAAGGGATAATAATAATAATGATAAAGTTGGAAGGGACCTTGGAGGTCATCTAGTCCAACCCCCTGCTCAGGAAGGAAACCCTATACCATTTCAGACAAATGGCTGTCCAGTTTCTTCTTAAAAACTTCCAGTGTTGGCGCGTTCACCGCTTCTGGAGGCAGGTTGTTCCACTGGTTAATTGTTCTAACTGTCAGGAAATTTCTCCTTAGTTCTAGGTTGCTTCTCTCTTTGGTTAGTTTCCATCCGTTGCTTCTCGTCCTGCCTTCAGGCGCTTTGGAGAATAGCTTGACTCCCTCTTCTTTGTGGCAGCCCCTGAGATATTGGAACACTGCTATCATGTCCCCCCCTCGTCCTTCTCTTTGTTAAACTAGACATACCCAATTCCAGAAACCGTTCCATATATGTTTTAGCCTCCAGTCCCCTAATCATCTTATTGTACCTGAAACATCCGCATAGAAACAAAATTTGAACATTTTTAGTACCATGGTGACGATTATCAATAAAAGATTGATATTCAGTGCTGTTCTCCCCACTACCCCCGCTATACATTCCCCTTGCCCAAATTTCCTTGGTCCCCCAAATGAGTGAGATGCAGTTCACTAAGGGTCTGTACATTTTTATTATTATTTAGAATATTTGTATTGCTGCTGCTCGCACATGGTGACTCAAGGCAGCTTACATAAATGAAAAACACCCTATAAAAAACTAAAATAAGACGAAGTATAAAAAAATATAATCCCCACCCCTCTCCCCAGCGACAATACACATTCATATTTGCTATTTAATGGGCTCCATCCCATTAAACCAGATCTTCAGTGCCTTCCGGAAGAGTGTTAGAGTGGGGGAAAGTCTAATCTCTGAGGGAATGTTGTTCCAAAGAGAGGGAGCCACCACCGAGGAGGCCCTTCTTTTGGGTCCCACCAGATGCATCTCCTTAGGGAACGGGACCAACAACATTCCACTCTAATGGGTTTGGTAGATGTGACCGTCAAGAGACGGTCCCTCAGATAACCTGGCCCCAAGCCATGAAAGGCTTCAAAGGTGGCAACCAGCACCTTGAATTGCACCCGGAAGCAAATCGGCAGCCAATGCAGCTCCCACGGGAGATGTGTCGCATGTGCACACCGAGGTCTGCACAAAACCATGTGGACTGCTGCATTTTGTACCAACTGGAGCTTCTGGATACTCTTCAGGGGCAGCCTGAATTTGTCCTTCGAGAATATGTCTTGCCATCTCCAAAGTTGGTCTCTATCCTTCTCCAGCCACTCTGGGACAAGCTGTGTGTTCTTCAGGTAGAACCAATCTATTGAAACTTCATTCTCAGCCTCTTCCCCTATATCAGGCAATACAACAGGGGTGGCTGGACTCACTTGTCCCAGCAACGGTCCTTCAACCTCACATGGAAGCTGGTAACATTCCAGACTCCAACCAAGATCCTTCCTTGAGCCCACCGCAAGGCCTTCATGGAGACCACCTCTGAGATTACATCCACCCCAACATTCTTTCTTCTGGAGGTCAGATTCTCAGTTGGCTCCTTCACTGGCCCCCTCTGTAGTTTCTTGACTAGGTCGAACTTCATGGTTTGGGCGGCTTTGTACAAGTACGTCTGTAATGACCTGCACCCCCCACAGTTATAACAGATCACTGGCCTCGTCGGCTTCTCAGCTGAGGTGGAAAAGCCTATCTCCCCATTAGCCAGCCCAGCCGGGCCTCCATTCAAGGGTGAACCATCTCTTGCCATCCATAAGGCCATCATCTCCATTAGATGTGATATTTGGTCTTCCATAGCAGTGAGCCGGGCATAGACATCTCCAATTCTCCTCACTCCGATGCCTGAGGACCAGTGGCGAATCAGTTGTGGCCTCTTTGATTTCCTCCACCACTTCTGTTGCCCTAACTCTCCTCATGAGCTCATGATACCCCTAGGTGTTCCCCTCGGCCAGGGACTTTAGCGGATTCAGTCTGGGTCTGAGAATAAAGCACCCTCCAAAAGCTGCTTCATTCTGATCCGTTCCACTTCAGCTGGCTCCATCCCCTTCCTCTCCACAATCTGACATAGCAACCTGTTCAAGTGTCTGATGTACTCAGATTGCCTTTCACTTCTCTTCTGGTACATTTGCTCAAACCAAAGCAGCAGACTAGAAACTGTTTCTGCAGGCCTGAACTCATCCGAGATAATCACGCAGTGTGAAATGCCTTTGGCTGAATCTTAAGCTTCTAATGGCTTCTGCAGCAGGACCCTTCAGACTCTCTCTGACTCTCTGCTTCTTTTGGGTGTCTGATACATCCCTTTCTTCACCCGTTCCATCCAGGCTTCGTATTCTTCTTCCCCTCTGGCACTGGTTGTATCCCCCAAAAGATACGCAGTTTCTTGTACCCAGACTCTGCACAGTGGCTGCCAATCTGGGTTTGGATGGGTGTCAAGTTTCCCATAGCTTGGGCAGAACCTGGTAACCAAGGTGCGTGTCTCCTCTTGGGTGCTCAATGTCTTCACTAAAGGCCGGGCCCATGGGGACGGGTATATCATCCTTGTCCTGATGTCCTCAATCAATTGAAAGCTTTCAACTCCACCTTTGTGTCTACCAGGTATATCTTCTGATCTGGGGCACAGGCCCTCACTGCCTGTAGAATGCACCCTTCTGGCCAAGTATCTCCAAAGATGTCAGTTGCTACACTCTGTCTCACTGTTCTGTTCCTCACACCACTTAGTGATGGTGGTGGAATCCATTTTGCTCAATTGGCTCATATCCCTGGATGGGATCACCCCCCTGTGGAGAAAAGCTAAGAGGAGATCCCAGATAAGCCCCCCCCTTGTAGCGCTACCCCCAAAAGAGCCGCAAAAGTCTTGCTCCTTCTGTCCCTTTCTCCCAGGTAACTTGCTTTTCCGTTCTCAGTCACTGATCTACCATCTCAGGGTCTCTCACTCTGATGGCCCACTCAGGCACTTCCACTCAGCCCAGTTCATGTAAGCTATCCTCCGGTGGGTCAACTTGCCTCTGCTTCCTTCGGGTGTGTCTGGCGTACTCTCTGGTCACTGAATCGCTCTCTCGCCTGGATCGGCTCTCCTCTGTAGCCTCCTGGTGCATCTGGCACCCGCTCTGGTCACTGGATCGCTCTATCGCCCCTTCTCTCTGGGTCGGCTTCACGCTCTCTCTCTGAGTCAGCTTTGCTCTCTCTCTGGATCAGCTTCGTTCTTGTTCTCTCTCTCTCCCTCTTCCTCTCTGGCCTCTATCGCCACCCACACAGTCCCACCAACCAGGGATCAGGAGGCAGGGTGGTGACAGGGCAAGTTGATCAATGCTTCCTCCTCTCTCCCTGCTCTCCCCAGCTCCTCCTCCTCCTCTTCCATTTGCTTTTGCCTCTGTTTCCACTGTCTCTTTTCCCCCTCATGCTGCTTCTCCCCTTTCTTTAGTCTTTCTCTCTCTCCCCCCCTTCTTCTCCTCTTTGTTCTCTCCTTTACCTCACATGCCTCCTCTCTTTATAGCCCCCTTTCCTTGGGCCGCCCCTTCCCCCCTAATTTCTGCTGGGTCTCCTATACAGCAGTCATCCGCTGGATGAGTGCCACCCCTGCAACCATCCCGAGTACCCTGATCACTTGGAGCTGCCTCTGAGGATGTCCCCAGCCAGTTGCCGCGGATACCAGGCCTCCAATTGAGCCCCGGGGTGCCCGCAACTGAGCTGCTCAGCCGTCCCATCGCTGGAGCACTGTGGTGATTGGGCCTGCTGTCCAGCTGACTGGCGATTTGCACCAATCAGCTGTGTGCTTGCCGTCGCTTTCCAGCCTCCAGGATGCCCCCCTAGAGCCTGGCACATCTGTGGGGTGCTGCGCAGCAATTAGGAGCCCCGGGATGCTGATGGCTGCACCACTCAGCTGCAGCCTTGGGACACCCATGCTGCTCAGCTGGCTGTGGTGATTGGCATGATCGCGTGGTCAGCACTGCTCTCCCCCATGACACTGGCATTTGGCAAAACCGCACCCCTCTTGATTTTTGTACTTTCGGAATTCTCTAAGCAAGAGAAAATGCTTCTAGTGCTCAGCATAATTGCTGCTTCTCTACTGGAGGCAGGAGACAGGGGAGAGACAGAAGCTAAGAAAGGATCAAAGGGCATTTCATCGGGATCAGCCAACTCTTGGGATGGGATTCTGTTGCTTCCTTTAAGTCAGTAGCTCCCAATTTTTTTTATAGGAAGGACTAGCTTTGGGGAAAACAATTTATTCACAGATCAGTGGCAGTGGTGGGGGAATGGTTTTGGGCACTACCTGGTTGTGTGCGTGCATGGATGAAACTTCGCTCGCTTATGTGGCCCGGTTAATAACAGCCACAGATCTGTACTGGTCTGTGGACCGAGGGGGTTGGGGAACCCTGCTTTAAATCACCTGAAGCCAATTCTATGGACTCTTCCCTGCAGCTCCACCAACCTCAAAGCAGAAAAATCCAGTGGTTTAAAACTCAAGTACGATCACATCTGAACACAACTGGGGTCAGATTTCTCTCCCAGAATCTTCCAGCCTGCCAAAGAGCCCGGCCTTTCCCTCCCTGCAGCCTCTCACCCTTCAGGGTCATTTCCAGAGGCTCCTGCAGTCCATCATGCTCCACGTGGCACCGATAGCGGCCCCTCTCTTTGGGATCGATCCGGATGCCGAGCCAATAGTGGTAGGTCCCATCCGCATTGGGGGCTATGGACCCACGGAAAGTGTCTTCGAGCCAGACCTCCCCATCCCTCATCCAGGAGGCATCGATCTCCCTTGGGTAGAAGCCGTGGATTCGGCAGACGTGCGTCTCCATCCTATCATCGGCCTCCATCTTGCTGCTCATCGTCACCACCGGGGGCTCTGCAGAAATGGCATCAGAATTAACACTGAATTTCCATATCAGCTGAATAAATTTATGTTTGATTTGTGTCTTTTTCCAAGAACTGCCGAACCAGTGTATACAATTTTGGCAAGGTAAGGGAAGGATTTAGGCTCCATAGCTATTTGCACTACAGGTAGTCCTCGAGCTATGAATGAAATGTAGCCTGCCCGTTCCATTCGTAAGTCGAGGACTTGTAGGAGTGAATCTCGTACCTTGAATGAGATCACTCTGTCCTTTCGCCCACTCATTCGCTAATCGAATGCACAGTTGGTTAAGTACACATGTGGTATCTCAGGGTGGGGAAGGCCAGGGGGGACCTAGTGATAAAACAGGCCCCCAAGGCCTCCCAGACCCACTAAGGTACCTCATGTTTCCCCGGCCCTTCCTGCCATGCTAGACTCATCTTGAAAAGATGTCTCCTTTCTGCCACGGCTTCTGCCTTTGAGGGAGAGGAGACTCGATGGAAGCTCCTGGGTGTCGTAATATCGTGCGAGTTCAGGCACCTATTCTGTTTTGCAGAGAATGGTGCCTGAACTCTCGTGAAATCATGGGCAGAGATGATGGGGAGACTTGGAAGCACCATCTGCATGCAAATGGGGGTGCTTGGAAACAGAGCAAATCATTCCATTTGCATACAGATGAAGCTTCCAATCTCTGCCTGGGTGAAAAGTATGTGAACGCCTATGCAGTGCTTGGAAATGGAGCGATTTTCTCCATTTCGAAGTGTCTCATAGGCACTCAAACACTTTTTACCCAGAGGGAGACCTTGGGCAGATTGGAAGCTCCGTCGGCAAGTGGGGTGCTTGGAAATGAAGCGATTCGTTCTGTTTCCAAGAGCCCCATTTACATGCAGACAGAGCTTCCAGTCTCTGTCAGGTTTCCGTGTGGGTAAAAAGTGTTTGAGCGTCTATGGGACATTTGGAAACAGAGAGAATGGGACTTGCTTGTAAACACTAGGGGGCGCTTATCGTGTAACTTTGAACAAGCGCTAAGTGAACGCTGATAACTCGGGGATTATCTGTACTCAGGTGACTGACAACACAGATAAACCTCCAAGTGGCCTCAACAACTCCTTAAAAGAATGCAAATGACCTGCTTTCTGCAAGGAATATATATAAATCCTTCCATTTCCCACCATCCAATCAGAGCTGAAGAAGCTTCTTGGATGAGAAGCGAAATGTCTTCAAAGGAAAACCAGAAAATCCAATTGCTCCTTTAAAAAAAAGGTATCTTATGGACACTGTGACCTGGATGACTGAGGATCTCTATAGATGTTTAGGCCTGCAACCAATATTCAGCAACATTTTTACTAATCACAAAAAAAAGATAGAACTGAAAGAATGCTTATCAGAAGCGCAAATGACACAAAACAGGGACTATAAAGGATGGTGCCAGCCATCCCAGGTAGACCAGACATAAAACAGGCCAGATGAGCTACTATTTTATTTATACTGGTTTAAGAGAATCTTGCATGTCTGAAAATACTAATTTCCCATTGAATGCATCTTCGGCTATGCACCTTACTGAGACCTGGTGTAACTTTTTAACAAGCAGCCACCAAGCTTTATATTGCTTAGGACAGCGGTCCCCAACCTTTATGGCTTGGTGTCCCAGTGGGAGGGGGGAGAAGGAATGGTTTGGAGCGAGTGGCTGGCATGTATGCACACGCAACTCCATTTGCACAAGCAGCAGAGGTGAGTGCCCACAGCTCCCGCAAATGGGGATTCGCGCAGAAGTATGAGCGCCTGCCGCTTGCGCAAGTGGAGCTTCACGCACTCACGCAAGTGCCAGCCTCCCACGCAAATGGGGATTCGTGCAGAAGTGTGAGCACCTGCCGCTTGCACAAGTGGAGCTTCATGCACCGCACAAGTGCCAGCCGCCCGCACAAATGGGGATTCGCGCACAAGTGTGAGTGCCTGCCGTTCGTACAAGTGGAGCTTCATGCATGAGTGTGAGTGGCTGCCACTCATGCTAGTACAGCTGTGCGCACACATGCTCGCACTGCTCGTGCGGCATGTTTCCAAATGGGTCACAGCCCAATAGTGGGCCGGAGCCCGGCAACTGGGAACCCTGGCTTAGGGCAACGTTTCTCAAGCTTGTCCACTTGAAGTTGTGTGGCTGGGGAATTCTGGGAGTTGAAGTCCATACATCTTCAGATTGCCAAGGTTGAGAAACAGAAACACCTCGTCTAATATAAATCCAGCACTGGATTTCTCCTCCCCCGGGATACGCACCTGCCCTCAGCAGCATCTCCTTCCTCCTATATGACAGGTACTTCTCCAGCCATTCAATGCATTCCTTCTCCAGGTAGACTTTATTTCTCTGGGACCACTGCACATTAACATCCCAATTCCTCTTGGTGATCTGGGCCTGGGGCTCAGGAGCCACCCAGCTCAGTGTCTCTTTATCAAAGGTGAGGAAGGTCCTCCCGTCGTAGCCGTATTGTGAATAACCATGTTTGCTCCCGTTTCCTGTGAACTCACAGCCATAAGTGGCCTGCCAAGTGTGAAACCCTGAGAAAAAAAATCACAAAAGAGGTAAGGAAGGGCTTGAGTAGCTCCTCCCCAGAAACCTCCACAAAAGAGGTTGTCCACCAAAGGTAGACAACCACAACTTCAGGANATTTTATTTAGGGACGATTTTAAGTATAATTTTAATTGGAACACAGCCTCTAATATTTGGTTTTTAATTTGGTTTTAGAAGGGTTTTATTTTTGTATATTGTTATTGTATCTGTTTTTAATATGCTGTGCACCGCCCTGAGTCCTGCGGGAGAAGGGCGGTATAGAAATTAAAATAATAAATAAAATAAATAAATAAATAAATAGAAACAAAAACTGGCTGAGGAAAAAAAAACTGGCACGTTGGCTGATGAATTCTGGGAGTGGAAGTCCACAAGTCATAAAAGGGCCACATTTGAAGACCCCTGTTCTAGACCCTCTAGACCTGCCTTAGCCCTGAAAACCAGATGGGTGACCTTGGACTAGTCCCTCTCTCTCAGCCCAACCTGCCTCACAGGGTTGTTGTTGCGGGGAAAAATCGGAGAAGGAAGGCGGTGTTGGATATGTTCGCTGCCTTGAGTTATTTGTGAAAGCAATAAAGGCAGGATGCAAATAAATACATAAATAAAGTTAGCCTGTCCCCCTGAAGGAGAAGAAAGGATTGAATGAAGTTTTTAAGAAGAGATTGGATAAACATTTGTCTGAAATGGTATAGGGTTTCCTGCCTGAGCAGGAGGTTGAACTAGAAGACCTCCAAGGTCCCTTCCTACTCTTCTCTTCTCTTCTCTTCTCTTCTCTTCTGATCTGTTCCGCTTCATTCCGTTCCGTTCTATTCTGCCTTTGCATTAGGAGCTTTTAAGTGCTGGGAAGGCAGCGGAATATGTGAGAATACTTTTCTATCACACGTATTCCGGGGTTGCGGGGAGGACCCCAGGAAGGTCTATATAATGTGCCCACCACCACTACATCACTCTTTTCTCACAATTAAACATGCTTAGCTCCTTCTATTCATTTACAGAGGATTTAGTATCCAGTTCCTGATCAGCCTTGTTGTTCTACTATGAATCTTTTCCAATTGCTCCGAATCTGTATTAATGGGTGTTGCCCAAGAACTGAGGCTGGCTCTGCTCATAGCAGAACACGGGGAGAAAATTACCCTCATTGTTTGTAAGCTATAGTTTATTTGACATAGCCTAAAATTGGTCCTTTGAAGGTATTTGATGTTCTTACTCCGTCTTCTATTAAACCAGGTATCTCCCACCCAATATTTTTGCACTTTTGATTTTTGTTTCCTAAGTGAAGAACATTGCACTTGGACTCATACAGATGGAAGGAAGCAACCAAAGAGGTCATCTAGTCTAACCATCTGCTTGGTACAGGATCCATGAAAGGATTCAGCCAGATGTCTTTTAGTACCTCATTTGAGATTCCCATCCTTCCTGGACACTGTTTACTTTCAAATTTTTCTTCCGTTTCTTTCTGTTCCTCTCCACCCATTCTGAATTTCACTTCCTTTTTTGAGAATATTAGCTAACTCGGCCAGTTTTATATCCTCTTCAGTTGGATAACTATTTGCTCTATCAATTCCTCCAGGTCACTAAAGGGAATTTGGAAGAACAGAGGGCAAGGGCCCCCCATTTGATATCTTCATCCTGATGAGGAACCATCAACCTGCAGGGGGATTTTTGAGCCAGTTCTGCATCCCCCTTCATTGTCCGGCCATCTGGCCTCCTTTTATTAGTTGAAGAGGCCTTTGACTGCCTCCAGATGGAGTTTATGAGGCAAAATGCCTGATTTACCATAAAAAATTTAGCCCCATGAAACATTCAGATGATCCTGTCATCTTTTAGAGATCCTTTGATCTGTTTTCTATCTCATTTAGATCAACCATAAAGAAAAATCTGCTGATCTAAATGTTTCACTGTAACATCAATAAAGTGGGATCTATGTCAACCCCTCCCTTATTTCTGGAGGGAGGGGAGGAGTTGTGGCCCGTCCAGAAATGACAAAAAATGAAATTTTGTGCTTCCAGAATTTCAGGATGAAAAAATGGAACGTAATGATATCCAACTTCTGGAGGGCCTCTCAAATGGCCAAAACTCCGAGATAGGGTAGCAAACAAATTTAAATAAATAAATCAATAAATATTGGGTGGGTACTTCAGGGGGGAAAGTTTGAGGAGGGGAACGTCAAATTTCTCTTTCACAGAACTCAGGACTCCCAATGAATAGCAGCTATGGGGCTTGTGAATTGATACTTAGTAAAGGGATAATAATGATAATGATAAAGTTGGAAGGGACCTTGGAGGTCATCTAGTCCAACCCCCTGCTCAGGCAGGAAACCCTATACCATTTTGGACAAATGGCTGTCCAGTTTCTTCTTAAAAAAAAATAAAATAAAATAAAATAAAATAAAATAAAATAAAATAAAATAAAATAAAATAAAATAAAATAAAATAAATAAAATAAAATAAAATAAAATAAAATAAAATAAAATAAAATAATAATAATAATAATAATAATAATAATAATAATAATAATAATGTTGGAAGGGACCTTGGAGGTCATCTAGTCCATCCCCTTGCTCAGGCAGGAAACCCTATACCATTTCAGACAAATGGCTGTCCAGTCTCTTCTTGAAAATTTCCAGTGTTGGAGCATTCACCGCTTCTGGAGGCAGGTTGTTCCACTGGTTAATTGTTCTAACTGTCAGGAAGTTTCTCCTTAGTTCTAGGTTGCTTCTCTCTTTGGTTAGTTTCCACCCGTTGCTTCTCGTCCTGCCTTTAGGCGCTTTGGAGAATAGCTTGACTCCCTTTTCTTTGTGGCAGCCCCTGAGATATTGGAACACTGCTATCATGTCCCCCCTCGTCCTTCTCTTCATTAAACTAGACATACCCAATTCCAGCAACCGTTCCATATATGTTTTAGCCTCCAGTCCCCTAATCATCTTATTGTACCTGAAACATCCGCATAGAAACAAAATTTGAACATTTTTAGTACCATGGTGACGATTATCAATAAAAGATTGATATTCGGTGTTGTTCTCCCCACTACCCCCGCTATACACTCCCCTTGCCCAAATTTCCTTGGTCCCCCAAATGAGTGAGATGCAGTTCACTAAGGGTCTGTACATTTTTTTTATTATTTAGAAGATTTGTATTGCCGCTGCTCGCACATGACGACTCAATGCAGCTTACATAAATGAAAAACACCCTATAAAAAATTAAAATAAGATGAAGTATAAAATAATAAAATCCCCACCCCTCTCCCCAGTGACAACACACATTCATATTAGCTATTTAATGGGCTCCAACCCATTAAACCAGATCTTCAGCGCCTTCCGGAAGAGTGTTAGAGTGGGGCAAGTCTAATCTCTGAGGGAAGGTTGTTCCAAAGAGAGGGAGCCACCACCGAGGAGGCCCTTCTTTTGGGTCCCGCCAGATGCATCTCCTTAGGGAACGGGACCAACAACATTCCACTCTAATGGGTTTGGTAGATGTGACCGTCAAGAGACGGTCCCTCAGATAACCTGGCCCCAAGCCATGAAAGGCTTCAAAGGTGGAAACCAGCACCTTGAATTGCACCCGGAAGCAAATCGGCAGCCAATGCAGCTCCCACGGGAGATGTGTCGCATGTGCACACCGAGGTCTGCACAAAACCATGTGGACTGCTACATTTTGTACCAACTGGAGCTTCTGGATACTCTTCAGGGGCAGCCTGAATTTGTCCTTCGAGAACATGCGTTGTCACCTCCAAAGTTGGTCTCTATCCCTCTGGGATAATAATAATAATAATAATAATAATAATAATAATAATAATAATAATAATGATGATGATGATGATGATGATGATGATGATGATGATGATGATGATGATGATGATGATGATGATGATGTTGGAAGGGACCTTGGAGGTCATCGAGTCCAACCCCCTGCTCAGGCAGGAAATCCTATACCAGTTCGGATAAATGGCTGTCCAGTCTCTTCTTAAAAACTTTCAGTGTTGGAGCATTCACCTCTTCTGGAGGCAGGTTGTTCCACTGGTTAATTGTTCTAATTGTCAGGAAGTTTCTCCTTGGTTCTAGGTTGCTTCTCTCCTTGATTAGTTTCCATCCATGGCTTCTTGTCCTGCTTTCAGGCGCTTTGGAAAATAGGTTGACTCCCTCTTCTTTGTGGCAGCCCCTGAGATATTGGAATACTGCTATCATGTCCCCCCTCGTCCTTCTCTTCATTAAACTAGACATACCCAATTCCAGCAACCGTTCCTTATATGTTTTAGCCTCCAGTCCCCTAATCATCTTTGTTGCTCTTCTCTGTACTCTTTCTAGAGTCTCAACATCTTCTTTACATCGTGGCGACCAAAACTGGATGCAGTATTCCAAGTGTGGCCTTACCAAGGCATTGTAAAGTGGTATTAACACTTCACATAATCTTGATTCTATCCCTCTATTGATGCAGCCTAGCACTGTGTTGGCTTTTTTGGCAGCCGCAGCACACGGCTGGCTCCTATTTAAGTGATTGTCCACTAGGACTCCGAGGTCCCTCTCATAGTTAGTACTATTGAGCAAGGATAAGCTGTGTGTTCTTCAGGTAGAACCAATCTATTGAAACTTCATCCTCAGTCTCTTCCCCTATATCGGGCAATACAACAGGGGTGGCTGGACTCACTTGTCCCAACAAAGGTCCTTCAACCTCACAGGAAAGCTGGTAACATTCCAGACTCCAACCACGATCCTTCCTCAAGCCCACTGGGCCCTCTGTAGTTTCTTGACTAGGCGAACCTAATGGTTTGGGAGGCTTTGTACAAGTACGTCTGTAGTAGCCTGCACCCCCACAGTTATAACAGATCACTGGCCTCCCCGGCTTCTCAGCTGAGGTGGAAAAGCCTATCTCCCCATTAGCCAGCCCAGCTGTGATGAGCCAGGGCACAGCACAGAGGCAATGCAGTCAGCTGGCAATTCAAACAGTTCTTTTATTGCTCCAAATTTTCCCCAAATGCTCCCACGTTTGCTAGCAAGCCTCCAGCAAAATAACACACACACCCCTTCAGCCGACTCTGGCTGAAAGTAGGTTCAAATACAGTCTGATTAGCATAAGAAAGTACTCAAGGCCATAGAGATAACAAGGAAGAAAACATAAATTTAACAAGTCTGTTTGAATCCTAGCTTGCCTGAGCAGTTTTCAAAAGAGAGAATCCGAAATACAGTCCAAGGTCTTTAAACATTCAAGTAACGTGGCCAGTCAATCCAATAGTTCGAGTTTCCAGGTTTCCAAACAGAAGTCACAGAACAAGAGATCAGCAACAATACACAACACTCCAAGAATCAGTGTTTGTTCCCGACAAATGCCCCTCCCCACAGCGTCTCCTTAAATCTCAATCTCCAGGTGTTCCTTGTGGAGAAGGGCGGGTTGCTCTCCTCCCAATTGAGCCTGCCTGCATCGTTCCTTCCTTCTCTCCATTCTCCGTGCTCTAGGATCAGGTGGGGGTGGCCCTTGCTCATCGCCTGAACTCTGCTTCTCCTGTTCCTCCTGTTCCAATCCTGAAGGGCTCTGGCCTGTCTCGGCCTGCTCTTCCCCACATTCCTCTGAAGCCACAGACACCTCTCCCTCGGCCCTCCATAGGGTCCCATTCCAGTTGATTTTCCTCCGCAGATTCATGCTCAGACAGAGACATGACACCAGCCGGGCCTCCATTCAAGAGTGAACCACCTCTTGCCATCCACAAGGCCATCGTCTCCATTAGATGTGATATTTGGTCTTCCATAGCAGTGAGCCAGGGATAGTCATCTCCAATTCTCCTCACTCTGATGCCTGGGGACCAGTCTGGTGGCGAATCAGCTATGGCCTCTTTGATTTCCTCCACCACTTCTGTTGCCCTAACTCTCCTTATGAGCTCATGATACTCCTAGGTGTTCCCCTCGGCCAGAGACTTTAGCGGATTCAGTCTGGGTCTGAGAATAAAGCACCCCCCAAAAGCTGCTTCATTCTGGCCCGTTCCACTTCAGCTGGCTCCATCTCCTTCCTCTCCACAATCTGACATAGCAACCTGTTCAAGTGTCTGTTGTACTCAGATTGCCTTTCACTTCTCTTCTTGTACATTTGCTCAAACCAAAGCAGCAGACTAGAAACTGTTTCTGCAGGCCCGAACTCATCCTGCAGTAAACAGAGATAATCACGCAGTGTGAAATGCCTTTGGCTGAATGTTAAGCTTCTAATGGCTTCTGCAGCAGGACCCTTCAGACTCTTTCTGACTCTCTGCTTCTTTTGGGTGTCTGATACATCCCTTTCTTCACCCGTTCCATCCAGGCTTCGTATTCTTCTTCCCCTCTGGCACTGGTTGTATCCCCCAAAAGATACGCAGTTTCTTGTACCCAGACTCTGCACAGTGGCTGCCAATCTGGGTTTGGATGGGTGTCAAGTTTCCCATAGCTTGGGCAGAACCTGGTAACCAAGGTGCGTGTCTCCTCTTGGGTGCTCAATGTCTTCGCTAAAGGCCGGGCCCATGGGGATGGGTGTATCATCCTTGTCCTGATGTCCTCAATCAGTTGAAAGCTTTCAACTCCAAAGCACTCTGGGATCCTTCTCTTCCACTCCAATAGCACATAAGAGTGGGAAGAGTCCTAGTCCACCTTTGTGTCTACCAGGTATATCCTCTGATCTGGGGCACGGGCCCTCACTGCCTGTAGAATGCACTCTTCTGGGCAAGTATCTCCAAAGATGTCAGTTTTTACACTCTGTCTCACTGTTCTGTTCCTCACACCACTTAGTGATGGTGGTGGAGTCCATTTTGCTCAATTGGCTCATGTCCCTGGATGTGATCACCCCCCTGTGGAGAAAAGCTAGAAGGAGATCCCAGATAAGCCCCCCCTTGTAGCACTACCCCCAAAAGAGCCGGAAAAGTCTTGCTTCTTCTGTCCCTTTCTCCCAGGTAACTTGCTTTTCCGTTCTCAGTCACTGATCTACCATCTCAGGGTCTCTCGCTCTGATGGCCCACTCAGGCACTTCCACTCACTCAGCTCAGTTCACCTAAGCTGTCCTCTGGTGGGTCAACTTGCCTCTGCTTCCGTCAGGTGTGTCTGGTGTACTCTCTGGTCACTGGATCGCTCTCTCGCCTGGATTGGTTCTCTTCTGCAGTCTCCTGGTACATCTGGCACCCGCTCTGGTCACTGGATTGCTCTATCACCCCTTCTCTCTGGGTCGGCTTCGCTCTCTCTCTCTCTGGATCAGCTTCGTTCTTGTTCTCCCTCTCTCCCTCTTCCTCTCTGACTTCTATCGCCGCCCACACAGTCCCACCAACCAGGGATCAGGAGGCAGGGTGGTGACAGGGCAAGTTGATCAATGCTTCCTCCTCTCTCCCTGCTCTCCCCAGCTCCTCCTCCTCCACCTCTTCCATTTGCTTTTGCCTCCGTCTCCACTGTCTCTTTTCCCCCTCATGCTGCTTCTCCCCTTTCTTTAGTCTTTCTCTCTCCCCCCCTTCTTCTCCTCTTTGTTCTCTCCTTAACCTCACATGCCTCCTTTCTTTATAGCCCCCTTTCCCTGGGCTGCCCCTTCCCCCCTAATTTCCACTTGGTCTCCTATATAGCAGTCATCTGCTGGATGAGTGCCACCCGTGCAACCATCCCGAGTACCCTGGTCACTTGGAGCCGCCTCCGAGGATGTCCCCAACCAATTGCCACAGATCCCAGGCCTCCAATTGAGCCCCGGGGTGCCTGCAACTGAGCTGCTCAGCCGTCCCATTGCTGGAGCGCCGTGGCGATTGGGCCTGCTGTCCAGCTGACTGGCAATTTGCACCAATCAGCTGCATGCTTGCCATCACTTTCCAGCCTCCAGGATGCCCCCCTAGAGCCTGACACATCCGTGGGGTACTCCACAGCAATTAGGAGCCCTGGGATGCCGATGGCTGCACCACTCAGCTGCAGCCTTGGGACACCCATGCTGCTCAGCTGGTTGTGCTGACTGGCGAGATCGCGTGGTCAGCACTGCTCTCCCCCACGACACTGGCATTTGGCAAAACCGCACCCCTCTTGATTTTTGTACTTTTGGAATTCTCTAAGCAAGAGAAAATGCTTCTAGCGCTCAGCATAATTGTTGCTTCTCTACTGGAGGCAGGAGACAGGGGAGAGACAGAAGCTAAGAAAAGATCGAAGGGCATTTCATCAGGATCAGCCAACTCTTGGGATGGGATTCTGTTGCTTCCTTTAAATCAGCAGCCCCCAATCTTTTTGATAGGAAGGACTAGCTTTGGAGGAAACAATTTTTTCACAGATCAGTGGCAGTAGTGGGGGAATGGTTTTGGGCACTACCTGGTTGTGTGCATGCATGAATGAAACTTCGCTTGCTTATGTGGCCCGGTTAATAACAGCCACAGACCTGTACCGGTCCATGGACCGGGTGGGGTTGGGGAACCCTGCTTTAAATCACCTGAAGCCAATTCTATGGACTCTTCCCTGCAGCTCCACCAACCTCAAAACAGAAAAATCCAGTGGTTTAAAACTCAAGTACGATCACATCTGAACACAACTGGGGTCAGATTTCTCTCCCAGAATCCTCCAGCCTGCCAAAGAGCCCGGCATTTCCCTCCCTGCAGCCTCTCACCCTTCAGGGTAATTTCCAGAGGCTCCTGCAGTCCATCATGCTCCACGTGGCACCGATAGCGGCCCCTCTCTTTGGGATCGATCCGGATGCCGAGCCAATAGTGGTAGGTCCCATCTGCATTGGGGGCTATGGACCCATGGAAGGTGTCTTCGAGCCAGACCTCCCCATCCCTCGTCCAGGAGGCATCGATCTCCCTTGGGTAGAAGCCGTGGATTCGGCAGACGTGCGTCTCCATCCTATCATCAGCCTCCATCTTGCTGCTCATCGTCACCACCGGGGGCTCTGCAGAAATGGCATCAGAATTAACACTGAATTTCCATATCAGCTGAATAGATTTATGTTTGATTTGTGTCTTTTTCCAAGAACTGCCGAACCAGTGTATACAATTTTGGCAAGGGAAGGGAAGGATTTAGGCTCCATAGCCATTTGCACTACAGGTAGTCCTCGAGCTATGAATGAAATGTAACCTGCCCGTTTCATTCGTAACTCAAGGACTCGTAGGAGTGAATCTCGTACCTTGAATGAGATCACTCTCTCCTTTTGCCCACTCATTCGCTAATCGAATGCACAGTTGGTTAAGTACACATGTGGTATCTCAGGGTGGGGAAGGCCAGGGGGGACCTAGTGATAAAACAGGCCCCCAAGGCCTCCCAGACCCACTAAGGTACCTCATGTTTCCCCGGCCCTTCCTGCCATGCCAGACTCATCTTGAAAAGATGTCTCCTTTCTGCCACGGCTTCTGCCTTTGAGGGAGAGGAGACTCGATGGAAGCTCCTGGGTGTCGTAATATCGTGCGAGTTCAGGCACCTATTCTGTTTTGCAGAGAATGGTGCCTGAACTCTCGTGAAATCATGGACAGAGATGATGGGGAGACTTGGAAGCACCGTCTGCATGCAAATGGGGGTGCTTGGAAACAGAGCAAATCATTCCATTTGCATACAGATGAAGCTTCCAGTCTCTGCCTGGGTGAAAAGTATGTGAACGCCTATGCGGTGCTTGGAAATAGAGCGATTTTCTCCATTTCGAAGTGTCTCATAGGCACTCAAACACTTTTTACCCGGAGGGAGACCTTGGGCAGATTGGAAGCTCTGTCGGCAAGTGGGATGCTTGGAAATGAAGCGATTCGTTCTGTTTCCAAGAGCCCCATTTACATGCAGACAGAGCTTCCAGTCTCTGTCAGGTTTCCGTGCGGGTAAAAAGTGTTTGAGCGTCTATGGGACATTTGGAAACAGAGAGAATGGGACTTGCTTGTAAACACTAGGGGGCGCTTATCGTGTAACTTTGAACAAGCGCTAAGTGAACGCTGATAACTCGGGGATTATCTGTACTCAGGTGACTGACAACACAGATAAACCTCCAAGTGGCCTCAACAACTCCTTATAAGAATGCAAATGACCTGCTTTCTGCAAGGAATATATATAAATCCTTCCATTTCCCACCATCCAATCAGAGCTGAAGAAGCTTCTTGGATGAGAAGCGAAATGTCTTCAAAGGAAAACCAGAAAATCCAATTGCTCCTTTAAAAAAAAGGTATCTTATGGACACTGTGACCTGGATGACTGAGGATCTCTATAGATGTTTAGGCCTGCAACCAATATTCAGCAACATTTTTACTAATCACAAAAAAGACAGAACTGAAAGAATGCTTATCAGACGTGCAAATGACACAAAACAGGGACTATAAAGAGAGTGCCAGCCATCCCAGGTAGACCAGACATAAAACAGGCCAGATGAGCTACTATTTTATTTATACTGGTTTAAGAGAATCTTGCATGTCTGAAAATACTAATTTCCCATTGAATGCATCTTCGGCTATGCACCTTACTGAGACCTGGTGTAACTTTTTAACAAGCGGCCACCAAGCTTTATATTGCTTAGGACAGTGGTCCCCAACCTTTATGGCTTGGTGTCCCAGTGGGAGGGGGGAGAAGGAATGGTTTGGAGCGAGTGGCTGGCATGTATGCACACGCAACTCCATTTGCACAAGCAGCAGAGGTGAGTGCCCACAGCTCCCGCAAATGGGGATTCGCGCAGAAGTATGAGCGCCTGCCGCTTGCGCAAGTGGAGCTTCACGCACTCACGCAAGTGCCAGCCTCCCACGCAAATGGGGATTCGTGCAGAAGTGTGAGCACCTGCCGCTTGCACAAGTGGAGCTTCATGCACCGCACAAGTGCCAGCCGCCCGCGCAAATGGGGATTTGCGCACAAGTGTGAGTGCCTGCCATTCGTACAAGTGGAGCTTCATGCATGAGTGTGAGTGGCTGCCACTCATGCTAGTAGAGCTGCGCGCACACATGCTCACACCGCTTGTGCAGCATGTTTCCAAATGGGTCACAGCCCAATAGTGGGCCGGGGCCCGGCAACTGGGACCCCTGGCTTAGGGCATTTCTCAAGCTTGTCCACTTGAAGTTGTGAGGCTGGGGAATTCTGGGAGTCGAAGTCCATACATCTTCAGATTGCCAAGGTTGAGAAACAGAAACACCTCATCTAATATAAATCCAGCACTGGATTTCTCCTCCCCCGGGATACGCACCTGCCCTCAGCAGCATCTCCTTCCTCCTATATGACAGGTACTTCTCCAGCCATTCAATGCATTCCTTCTCCAGGTAGACTTTATTTCTCCGGGACCACTGCACATTAACATCCCAATTCCTCTTGGTGATCTGGGCCTGGGGCTCAGGAGCCACCCAGCTCAGTGTCTCTTTATCAAAGGTGAGGAATGTCCTCCCGTCGTAGCCGTATTGTGAATAACCATGTTTGCTCCCGTTTCCTGTGAACTCACAGCCATAAGTGGCCTGCCAAGTGTGAAACCCTGAGAAAAAAAATCACAAAAGAGGTAAGGAAGGGCTTGAGTAGCTCCTCCCCAGAAACCTCCACAAAAGAGGTTGTCCACCAAAGGTAGACAACCACAACTTCAGGA